TCTAACCATCTCATCCTCTGCCGTCTTCTTCTCCTTTTGCCTTCAATCTTTCTTAGCATCAGGGTCTTTTCCAAAGAGTCCTCTCTTCGCAACCAAAAGGTTAACTATTTCTAATAAAACATGAAGCAAATCAGTTGCTGACCATCCAATTTCCAATAGTTATATTCTATATACTTAATTTAGATTGCAATTTTATACCCATCAAAACTTACATGAGATTTCTGAGAAGAAATGAAAAAACTGGGGTTAATACTGAGATAAGGAAGCACAAGTACTGGATTTTACAAAAATGTTCTTTTACCATTAATATAGCATTGATTTAGGTATGTTCTGCAGCCATTAATTACAAGATTCACATCCACTGATGTGGCTATGTATAAGCTCAGCACAGAAAGATAGCAGTATCTGTTTGGAATCTTTCTTATTTCTATTATGCCTTTCTTCTTATTATTTTAGAGTATGCGCATACGATGTGTAAGTGGAGATACTTACTACAGTAAAGCTGGCAAGAAGCTTACAGGACAAGCCCTTGAGAAATTTGTGTTGATAGACTGTGAGCAAGTCCTTGCAGGGACTTACAGGTGAGACATGACAAGTACACTTCAGTATGACATCATCTGCAAAGGGCACTGTTTGATTATTTGTCTAGAGATGTCTGGGACCTAATGTCCTAACTCAGGATGACCATGGGGTATGATAAAAAAAAGCCAAGATGTCAGAGCTTCTATTGCACTGTCGCAGCTACCAATTTGACTTTTTTTTACCATATCTTTTGGACACCTCTGATTCAACTAATGTAGCAAATTATTTATTTAAAATGACTCTGTAGTGCCTTGTATCCTTCTAATGGGACAGGTGTCTACGTTTCCTTGTTCTAGTGCTACTCAAAGGTGTACTTCATCAGATTCAATTTCTGTTGAAGAGAAATGAAATAGGAAATAGTGAATATGCTATTTCTAAATGCACAGAAAAGTTCGTATCAAAACATACACCATAAGTTGTTCAGATGGAAGAAATTTAAAAAAATGTGTCTCCTGACTCCAGTCTCCTAACATCAGTCTCTGACTCCAATTTTAAATACACATTCTAAGACAACTGCCACCCTGGCCCCACAGTCTAATACTTTTCAGGGGTGCTGAATTTTCATAATTCTCCAGTCAACTGAAGACTGTGAGAGTTGAAATCTCAACAGTTGGAAGGAATATGCTTAGGGGAAAATATTCTAGGATAAAAGCCTATTAATCGCTGTGGCATTTCCTTCCAAAGATACAAGCACAGATTGCATTATGATGTTGCAAACATATATATCCTTAAAGTGAAATAAATCCCAGTGAATTTTGATGCACCTTTTTATTATATTACATGTTTATCTTGCACTAGCTCCAAGGGACTGAGAGCAGCATACAGGTAATCCTTGCTTAACAACCCTAATTGGGACCAGAATGTCTGTTGCTAAGCGATGCAATTGTTAGGCAAAACAACATGTGATTGCACCGCTTAGTGACAGCGGTTTCAGTAGTCCTGGTTGTGATTGTTAGGCCAGGACCTCATGCTTCTCCTGCCCTGCAATGCTTGCCTCCATTTCAATTCCCCCCCACCTACCTCTCCCCCATCTCTGCCCTTTAAGCCACCCTGCACTCTGCCCTGCAACTTGCCTTCCTGAATCCCACCACCCCTGCTGCTCCCCGCCATCCCAACTGACCTTCACCATTTTCTTCCTCCTGTTGTGGATGAGATGTGCCCAGCCTGGCCCTTTGTGAGCCTGGAGGCCTTGGGAAGCCTGCGTGCAGCCAACCACTGCTTCACGAAGGGCCAGGTAGGGCGTGCCTTGTCAACAGTGGGAGGAAGAAGACAGCGAAGGTCAGATGGGGTGGGGGGGACAGCAGGAGTGGTGGAGTGCAGGAAGGTGCAGGCGCAGGGCAGGGGGCGGGGGACAGGGGCAGCAGAGTGAAGGCAGCTAAAAGGGCAGACACGGTGGGGGGAGATAGGCAGGTGGAGAGAACTGAAGCACACCCTGCAGTCATAAATGCGGGTGGGCTGCCAAGTGTACACATTCTGATCACATGTCCTTGGGGTGCTGCAACGGCCAGAACTTCGAGGACCAGTTGTAAATATCAATCATTCAGCACCATTGTAAATTTGAATGGTCGTTGAACAAATGATACTTAAGTGAGGACTACCTGTACACAGCCTCTTATCTTAATAACAAGCCTGTGAAACACACTAGGTTGAGAAAGTGTCTCAAGATCTCCCCAATCTATTTCCAAGTAAATATATATAAGGCCACAGTGACTCAAACCTTCACATAAAAAACATCCTGGTTGACCCAAATCAAGTGACTGTATATGTTCCTTTATTTATTTAACTATTTATTTATTTATTTAAAACAACTTCTATGGCTGCCTATCTTATACATGATAATCCTAGGTGGCTCACAGCAACATTCCATAACAACAAAAAATAAATATAAACCCACAAAACCCCACAGAAGATGTAATACTTCCCACCACAGTGCCACAATACCCCACCAACTCTACATCTGCAGGGCTCACTTCCATATTAGGCCAATGTTTGGGTGAAGAGCCAAGTCTTCATGGCCCTCCACAAGGCTAAGAGGGTGGGGGCTCTTCAAATCTCATGGAGGAGGCTGTTCAAAAGGGCTGGGGAAGCCATGGAGAAGGTGTGACTCCAAGGTCCCACCAGATGTCAACATTTAAGGAAAGGGACCTGGAGTACGCCCACCCTATCTGACTGATAGAACAGGCAGATACCTTCAAGGAGAGGCAATCCTGTGAATAATTCACATGGCTGTTCATCTAATGAGTGAAATCCTGGGCAGCTAACAAAGGTCAAAACACAGTATACAGTCCAAATCAATTTAAAAAATCAAGTTAAGGCCCCTATAAAAATCTCATTGCCAGTATGTCACACACCCACATGCCAAAGCTTCATTAACATCTTAGCCCCAGTATCTGTGAGAAATCTTCACAGCCTTCAGAAGACCAACACTCGGGGCTGTGCGTATCTCTTGGGCAGAATATTCCATAAGGCAGGTGCCATGACAGAGAAGTCATGCTTCCTAAGACACTGCTTCACCAAGGGGACCTGGAACCTCTCTACTCTTCCAGATCTGATGGGATGGGGGAAATCATTGGGAATAAGTTGTCCTGCAAGTAACCTGGCCCCATGCCATGTAGGACTTTAAAAGTGACAGCCAGCATTTTGAATTGTATCAGGAACCCTACTGGGAGTCAGTGCAGCCCACATAGCAGCAGTGCTAGATTGGTGTACCGTGGTGCACTCAATACTGTACACGCCACCACATTTTGGACCAACTGCAGCTTCCAAAATACTCTTCAAGGGCAGCCCCAAATATAGTGTGTTGCAATAGTCCAATTGGGAGATGACTAGGAGGTGAGTGACAGTGAGCAGTGCCTCCTCACTTAGGAACAGGCACAACTGGCACACTAGACGTATTTGTTTGAAGGCTCTCTTGGTCCCGGCTGCCATCTGTTCCAGGAGAACCCCCAACTCTGCCTGGGGAAGTGTCACACCATCCAGTCAGTACATTTACTTTCAAGTAACCCCCCCCCCAAAAAAATAAATGTAAAAGGGCAACAGCACAATATTCATTTTACATATTGTACTGGTTAACCTTCAGTTATTTTGCCTTAGTTGGCAAATCTTTGGCTATATTTTGAAGAGAAATTATTTTCCTTTGCCTTAATTGCAACCAAATCTACTTCCTTGATTGATAATGCACACTTTCTTCCACCCAAACAATCTACATTTGACTCACCAACATAAATATTTAATAGCGGTGTTTCCTTTGTCCTCCCATTTTACTTACAGGAAGCCTGCCAACTCCATGGAATGTTTCTGTATTAGGCCATCTCAAAGTACCTTAGTGTGTGCAAGATTCCATTCCAAAATGACGTTTTTAAAAAGATTCTAGTAGGGAGTTGACCTTGGGATATAATTTGGCAGTCAGACCTGCTGTTGTCAAGGGAATTTAGGATTAGATATCACTTATAATTTGATTAAAGTTCTTCTCCCACCAAGGATTATATTTTCTGGGTTTAATAAAATTCTTTTTCTGTACAGTTTTTAAAGGCTCAGGAATTCTTCTCACCAGTGCCATTTTGTAACTCTTCTCTAAATGAGTTCCAGTCACACTGGGCAACTACTGATCTCCTCCTCCTCCTCTTGATCCATAAATACAACCCTTGAAGCCTATAATTACCTTGCAACCAATTCCTTATTATTCTTGAAGCTGTTATTTAAACAATTATCTAGAACAATTTATCCATAATAGCTTGTTTGCATGCTCAAGTAGTACCTTCATTTATTGCCTAATAAACATATTATAAACACACACACACACACACTCATCCTAAGGTTTTGACTATCAAACTGTTCCACCTATTATTTTCTCAATGCTTTAAAATAGTAATGATAAGTGTACCAATGTACCAATAGTGGGCATGGTGTACTGATAGGCGCATGCTTTAAAATAGTACTGATGTTGTAAATGAGTATTACTGTCCAATGAATTTTCAATATTTCAAATGTGAACAACTTAATTATATATTGATGATTCATGTTGTCCCTGAATTCTTTTCATTTCAGTTTTACATGGCTCTGCAGCCAGGTGCATACCAGTCTAGTGATGCACTTCAAAGGAAAAATTGTAGATGATTTTGACAGAGAGTTCCGATGCATATATGCTGAATCTAGATCAGTGAATCAACTCAGAATCCCCACTGCTGAAAATTCCACACCTTCTCCTTACAGGTTCATGCAGAAATTTGAGCCCATTTTAAAACATGTTCAACTGAATGAGTGTGAAGCCATCAGTCCCTCAAGCAGCCTTTCAAATTCCAGTGTTGCGACCATAAAGAAATCACCTTATTTCAACCAATCAATTTCCAATGTACTCTGCGAAAAGAAGGAATTAACTCCAGGTGAAACAAGAAAGACCACTTCAGGCTTTCTGGGATTTAGTGACTTGAGATACCAGCCCAGGGAGCTGCCAGACTCTAACTGCAACGTATCAGCTAAATTAAAGCCTCCACTCAGTGATGCTTCTAATTTATTGAAATTTAAGACATCTGTGCTATCAGTATCTTCACCAATATTAGGTGACAACACAGGAAATGGACATGATTTTCAGTTTATTCCTGAGAATATTGGAATAAAAGATAACAAGAAGTTCCTTTATACTCAACCAGTTGAAAATGCAAGCAAAATACAGAAGGATGAAAAAACAGTAATTCATGGATACAACAAATTAGAGTTCATTAACAAGCCTACTAAATCTGTAAATTATGAGATAAAGGGCACAGTCCCTAGATTCCATGATGTCTCTGATGATATGCCAATGGAGAACAATAGCAACATATACAGGAATGAAAAAAGGATGACTCTTGGTCACAGTAAATTGGATTTGATTACCAACTATAACAAATCAAAATCAAAACTAATTCATAGTCGATTTGAAGATGTTTGATCAAAACATGATGTTTGATCAAAACAAAAAATGCTTGATCTCAAGTCAAATGTGGAATGAAACTCTTAATATATCTGTAACATCAGATTTAGCTCAAATATATTGGGAAAGCTCAAAGAAGCTTAATAAAGCCAAAAAGATAATCATATAGCTGTGTAGGAGATTTGAGATTATTACTACATACCTCTAGAGTTAATTTGAAAGGAAATACATTTTGAATACTGAAAACATTGTCTGAGTATTTTTGCCTCACAGACATAACTGGGATTCCTGAAATACTGGAGGGGCATGTTTAGGACAATGGTATTTCTCAGTTTAACAGATCTTGGGGGAGAGGGGGGGTACATACCAACTTGAACAATTTGATGAATATCAGTATGTAAATAAAATGAGTATTAAAATATATACATAAATAATGCAAACTACAAATGATTCAATTTAAAGGGTCGGTAGAGAGTTTAAAATAGCTCTTTAATAAAAGCACACATCTCACTGGCCCAATGTGGATTATTGTGCAATTCTGTTTAAGACAGAGCTGTAAGAAATCCACATTTACCAAAGTAGGAGGATCTGCAGAAATCATATTACATAGTTCTTGACTTCCTTTTAATACTGCTACTCGCTCAGTTGATCAGTATGCCACGCTCAGTGCAGGAATCCAAATTACAGCCACCCTGACATAGAAAAAGAAACTCAGTTGTTTCCTTCTCTCTCAAACATAAGAGAAATAGGAAAAGACAAGTAAAATACAACTTTTAGTTTAAACATCAGAATACTAGCTATATGAAATTAAGTAAAGCTAATCTCTTTACCTCAACAAAAACAATATCTGCATCTGCAAAATTGTTTTGGCAGGTACAGACAAGGAAGGAAAGAGAATGTTAATAATATATTGGTTACATTATATTATGTTAAATAATATGAACAATAATCGACTCTTGTCTTAATGTTCTGATTACAAACCACAGACAATTAAAATTTCTGAACATTGCACATCACCTTGTATAACCTGAATTTTGCCTTAATTCTGTGCATATAATGATATACAGTATGTTTTAAATACATGAATATATATCATAGTTATCCCAAGTAAGTGGTCAACCAGGTTTTAATAATAGATTTATACAATCACAGCCCAGCTCAATTTATTTAAGTTACAATAAATAATTTAAGAAAAAGCAGCTGTTTTCTGTCCAGCCAAAGTGATGTTCTTGGAAGTCCACTGAACTCAAAGAGAGTGTTCACTGCATGCTTAACTATCTGAGAGCAGTTAAACATTTTAACTACTTACTCTTCCTTTGTATGGAAGAACAGATTGTCATCACTGACGTTTGTTATTTCTGAAAATCAAGATTTGATATGCTTCCTGAAGGAGTTTAGTTTAACCAAGATTTTCGAGATTTCATGAAGGAATCACAGGGAAGGTTATGACTGTTCTAACCATAAACTGTCATTTTAGCATTGTCTAAAGACTGCTAGCTCTGTCAATAGCAATTTAGACTGTGAATGCCTTAAGGACTCCTTTCTCTTTTTTCTTTCTCTTTCTCACTTTTTGGTTATTCATAACTTTGACACAGTGTATAATCTGATGGTGCCATTGAAATAAATAGTACTCTATAAACCACTATGTCATGGTTTGTTTTAACTATCATCTACCAAATAAAGTATGGCAGCTAAATTCAAATAAGATAGGCTATAAAAAAAATAAAGCAGCATGATTTAGCTTGATGTGTGGACTTCACCAACTGGGTTTGATCTTCCTCCAAGCTATAAAGATGCTAATTCAAGACTCTGTACCTCTTCTTCAAGAAGGAATATGCTTCTTAGATCAAGAAATCTTCCCTGGTACATTCTACATAAAGCATTAAAGAGCATTCCACAATGAGAATTAAGAATAGACTCAGAATGGGAGCACAGAGCTGTGCATTTCTTCAAGTTACTAGCTGAAGAAAAAATAAAAACAGAGATGGGGAAAAGAAGAATGGGGAAGAGGAGAAGGAAGAAGAAACAGCAAATAACCAATTAGATTAAAATTCTTATCGTGGAGTAGAAAACATACAGACTAGCTTTTCTGCATGTCTTGGAAACAGTGGGAAACTTTCTGGGGAGAAGTCTGCTCTAAAATAAAAGGAACACGCCATGGATACGTTGCTTAAAACTGCCTGGAGAGATTCTAGACTGAACTAGTTCAGAGTTTCATAAGCAAACCTTGAGTGGAGATTTCCTAACCTAACAGTTGTTTATCATTATTGGTTTGTTTAAACGAGTGAGGTAGTGTTTTAGGTATGGTTCTTTATCACTTACCAGAACTTGTGTGTTTGTGTGTGTGCCTTCAAGACCGTTTTTGACTCCAGGCAACTGCCTGGACAAGTCCCTGCAGTTTTCTTGGCAAGATTTTGGAAGCGGTTTGCCATTGCCTCTTTCCTAGGGCTGAGAGAGAATGACTGGCCCAAGGTTACCCAACTGGCTTCGTGCCTAATGCAAGACTAGAACTCACAGTCTCCCAGTCTCTAGTCTGATATCTTAACCACTACACCAAATTGCCTCTACCAGAACTTGTATTGGTCTTCAAATAAACAGGCTCATAGTGACTGCTTACATATGACTTATATGACTTAGGTAGGGAATAAAACATTTGCTTTCAAGCAGAGTTCTTCTGTTTCTTTAGTACCAACAGCTATCAAATATATGTTGCCATGCCTTCAAATTCTTTGGTGTCTCTTTGAAACACTTTGTTCGAGCATTTCCCTAGAATCAGAGTTGAATAATATTTAAATAATAAATAAAATAAATAATATTTATTTAAAACAGCAGGAAGAATGAGCTCTTCAGTATCAATATGCCATTCTGCTTACAACTAAAACTGCAGTGCTTCTTAACGATACATAGTTTATGGCTGCTCTAGTACCATGCTCCATAACGGAATAGTCTGTTCCAGCCTGTGCTATTTAACTCTCTCCAGACTTATTTGTAAAAGCAAACCTGCCTCCCAAATCATAAGTTCAGAGATAGGGTTCACACTGCAATAAGCCATTTTTTCTTTAATATAGGGCTACCATACCTGATCTGTGAAACTGTAGATCAGTATTTCTCAACTTTTCTGACTTTAAGATGTGTAGACTTCAACTCCCAGAATTCCCCAGCCAGCCCCAACTGCCTCAGATGACTACTAGATGGCAGCAAAGAGATTGAGAGCATCCAAACCTACCAAGAAGCAATGATTCTGGCAGAACTTCAGTAGCTTCACACAGCCCCTTCTTGTCCCTGGAAGGATCCCTGGAAGGACCCATGAAGCCCCATCCAGACTACATACCTCCCCTGCCAACAGACCTGACCCAACAACTCAGCTCTAGTCACAGCCTGTTCACAGGCAGTTCCCAAATGATGCTGCCTTCCCAAGCTACCACAGCCAAAGCTCTGGCAACCTCTACCCCTTTGCTGCTCACTGTAGAAGGACCAAGTAGCTGGGCAGATTCTAAGCCCCTGTGCTCCGTCCTCCCCCTCCCTTCTCAGCCCACAGTGAGGGGAACAGTCTGTCTCCAATCTACATCCTCCTGCTCTGCATAGTGAACCTGACCCTCCACAATCATGCCCAAATTCTAGAGTTCATCCCCCCATCAGCTAGTTCATCCCTACCATAAAAGAAGCTCTAAAGAAACTTGACCTCAGGGATAGACATGTCACCTGGGTGCCATCTTAGAAAGAAAACACATAGATAGCTCCTGCACAGCCAAACTGGAAATTAAAAGGATTAAAACATAGTTGTGCAAAGCCTCTCAACACCTTAGGTGTGACATTTGGCCTTAAAAGCTGTCACCAAACTACACACAAAAGGACTGTGTAGTGCTTTGGACATGATTCCAAAACGTATCTCTTGTCTGCAACTCTTTAAAATAGCTGTGTCTTGTCCCAGGATTGCATGATACCCTCTGCAACTGCTGTACAATCATAGGAAAAAATATAGCTGCTTTAAAGAGTTACAGACAAATGCATCCTTTTGAAACAGACTTTAAAGCACCGCACAGCCCTATGACTGGAAAATAATTATATTCATTATAACAATTCTAATTAAAGACCATGCTCTCAAACCAATTTAGTCCATACACATGATACACATCAGTCAAAGTGCAGCTCTTGGCCCAAAACAAGCTGTGCATACCTGATCTAAAAGCTTAAGGGCCTAAGACTATAGTCTTATTAACTTAAAATTAATCTAGCCTTGAAATCAGCTTTCCTTTATCTTAATGGACCATCCTATCCATTCTGTTCTTTTTCATTTTAACTCTTACCAGGAATGGGGTGAATTTTTATTTGTAGGCAGCGTGAAGCTATGTTCACATAACACATTTATCTATGGTTACTCATTTAACCAATGCTGTGGGTCTGCATAATACATTAAACCATTAACTTATTACTCAGTATAACGAGCTAAAAAGTAGTTGCTAGTTTGTACTTTGGTGCATCATGCAAACACAACTTGACAGTTGTACTATATGATATATGAGCGTTTACGGCAAAATCTTAGTGGACTGTACTGCAGTGGACTTCATAAGCAAAAAACAAAATTCCTGTGGTATTTACATCAATGTATGTCATTTGTGTAATGATGTAATTTGTGCTATGAAGCTGTTGCAGATGATGTACTCTTTGATTTAAAGGGGCAATCAGGAATAAAAGACACCTCTCCCTCCAGCTAGACTGCTAAACTGTGGTTATAGAAATACAACACATTCTCCCCAACTACAAAGAGCATCTATTTGTAACCCAATCCTGCGCCCTCAGTTCTGGAATGGCTTAGTTAGTACAGCACATTTGAGCCAGAATCTAGTCAAACAGATTTTAGTTTACTGTTATGAAAACCCAGCAATTTAAATCCAGCAAATGGGTGTCATTCAGCTACACTACATTATTCTGCCTCATTAGGAACAGCCCAGTAGTTCCCTTCCTGTTGAATGCAGATCATGGAAAGTCCCTATGATTCATATTGAGCTTTACATGCCATCCCCTACCTTGGACTACAACAGTGTTTTTCAACCTTAGCAAGTTTAAGATGTGTAGACTTCAACTCCCAGAATTCCCCAGCCAGCATGCTGGCTGGGGAATTC